GTTCCACAATCTGTAGAAAACTGAAATAGCGGGGCGGAAGATGCGATCGCACCAGCAATAATACTTGGATATTTCATTCTCAACCAAGCAGAATACTGACCGCCTAACGATCCACCAAATGCTACAACTGGACTATCCTTTGCCCCAGCAATGTTCGACTTTATAAAATGAATAAGTTTAGAATAATCAGCGAGCACTTGCGACGAGGTTAAGTAGCCGGTATACATAGGATCGGAGAGAGATTTCACACCGAATGGCAAGCTTCTCCCCTGATACCGTTGCTCTGCAAATACTAACATAGCATTAAAATCCGGTGCTATTTCCCACAGTAATCCCATTGTTCTGGCAAATAATTCAATATCAGCTTCATTTCCGCAGTAGAAGAAGATCGCACTGCCTGGTTTCCAATTTGATTTATCGATCAGATATCGTTGCTTGAACGTAGTGTTGTTTATAAAAGTAAAATGATCTATGTTTTGGTCGAACCATTTCGTTTCGTAAACGCACGAAGGACAATTCGGAAATCCGCGCTTGTGATCGTCACCCAAAGTCAAATCGGATCGAAAATATGTTGGAAATACGGGCCAATGGAATCCATAGACACTGCGTATTACGCACCAAATCAATAACAATAAAATGTTGAAAAGATTTCGTTTCATTCCGTTGGATTAATAAGACACTAAATTTGCATGCAATGCATGTATTTGTATATATATCCTACATTTAGATAATTTTAAAGAGTGGCGTACAACAGGTACCAGCTTAAACAGTTTATTGACCGTTTGAAAAATATAAAACAACTGGTACTTGAAATGTGAAAAATAATGCAGCAGTTAACTTGTAAAGCGCGGGAAATATTTAGTGACGGAACGGTCTTTGACGTTTTCCATGCACAGTGATCCCAAAAACGTGTTTAATATGAAAACTAACTTTTAAAATAAAAATTGTACAAATAGAGGCTGTTAGTTTAAAGTATAAACATGTTACCCTGTTCTGGATATTAAATATACCAATTATACTGGTGAAGACAAAAGTCAACATAGCTTTCTCTGTACCATATGCCTTATACTACAACACGGAACAAATGGTACCAAATGGAACAAATCCGGTACAGTGTAAACGTAGCCTTAGAAAGACGAAATCAAAAGATAAACAGTTTCCATTTGGTCAAAAGAAATCCCCCCAAAATGAGAAACATTTACTAAATGAGCCAGCCCGCAGTGTCATACACGAGCGTGCAGCATACTCATTTTCCGTCGTGTCTAAATATTAGACAGATTTAGATCGAGGACGCGGACGTCAAAGACGACGTGAAAATGGCGTCAAAGTGGCGTGGCATATCTATATATGGGCATAACACGCCATTTTCACGTCGTCTTTGACGTCCGCGTCCTCGATCTAAATCTGTCTATTATTTCCATAACTCATCTCAAGTTAATGTGGACAGGAGACGTTTGCATCCTTCTTCCAACATGCCATGATAATTATTGATCTGTTAAGAAAAAAATATTTATCATTAATAGTATATTTATATTTAACAGGCCTGCCTGTAAAGAATTATTTTGCTGGGAATTGCTAATGTACGGCCGAGACAAAAAGTGGTTGCACATTTGTCGGACAATGGGCAAAGTAATGTTTTTCATTTTTTATATTTATACCGATGTGATCAACTGTTGATATGCATCTTCCATAGAATCCATTGTATTAACGTGATCATCTTCCATTTCATTCAACTGAAATTGAATTAAGGCAA